CCCCATAGGTTTTTAACATTCTAAAAGCTCTTTATTCCAAATATACTACAAGCTAGTCAGTGTATTCAGCAGGTGTAATGTATTCTAAGTTGCTTCAGAAGTATTGTAAGTATTACAAACAACAATAATAAAACAGTGCTTTGACATAAAAAGGGAAATTTACTTTTGGTACTTAAGTACATTTAAAAGCAAGTACTTCTGTACTTGTACTTAAGTAAAAATCTGTCTTTACAACTTTTACTTGTAATGGAGTAATATTTGACCAGCAGTATCTGTACTTTCACTCAAGTAATGGAGTTGAGTACTTTGTCCGCCTCTGGTGATAGCCTACATTACTCAACGCAGCAAAATCACGTTGTAAATAAGTTAGAAACCTTTGAAGCTCCCCTGAGCGCAAACACAGATATGCTGATCGGATCAGTCGCACTGGTGCTCCTAAATATTTTTTCAAAGTTGCATGCAGTAATTTTCATTCGCAAATGCACTGCTTCTCCATAGGTTCATGCAGGGCTGCACAAGTTTTTTCTCGCACTACCCTATCTCAACCCCCAATCATTAGCGCAGTTTCGTTTTGTCTTTGAAAACGCATATAAGACAATTTTGGAAATAGCACCATTCTACTAAACAAAATTTATTTCAAATTTAATTCAAGCACTTTCAAGGACTTATATTTGTTTTCAAGTATTTTCCAGGCCTTGAATCCATGCGTCTGATATTCAATTACTTTCAAGTACTTTCAAGAAGCGTGAGAACCCTGAATAAAGGAAGTTGTGGTGACAGACCAGAAAAAGAAAAACAGCAAGCTCTTTTTGATGTGAGCATTTGCTTCTGTCCCATTATCTTTTTTAAATTCTGTAGAATGCATTAATGTCACATGACTGAGCTGAATAAACACCTTCAGGCGGATCAGGACCTTCAATCTTCTAAGTAAACAGACAGAAACACATACCCTGCTTTCCTTAATGCGTCTTGGATTTTCTGTCGCCGCTCTTCATTGATGGGATAGAAGCGAAAAATTATCAAGCTGATGAGCAGCAGGCAGATTGGCACAGGAGCGAAGAGCACCCGCAGCGAGTATATGACCTTTGGATTGTGTTTACAAGCACCAGGCTTGTATCCTACAAAACTGAAGAGTTAGGGAAGGAGAACATCACATGAAGCTTTCACATGAAGCTGTAGGTTTAATGGGATACAAAAAAGATGTGGTGCACAGATGTGAAAAATCTGATTGGAGGAAGCTCTTACTGTAATACCAAAGTAGAGACTCCAACAGACATGCCTCCTCCGAATTTGTTGAAGAAAACATAGCAGGAGTAGAACAATGGTTCTAGATCCTGGCATGATGGGTTCTTGACTTTGAAATCATCCACTACATCTGGCAACATTGACCTAAAATAAATAACAACCTGGTTTCATATACATATTTATATATATATATAGAATCATCAGCCACTTTATTAGGTACACCTATTCAACTGCTCGTTAATGCAAACATCTAATCAGCCAATCACATGGCAGCAACTCAATGCATTTAGACATGTAGACATGGTCACAATGACTTGCTGAAGCTCAAACTGAGCATCAGAATGGGAAAAAAGGTGATTTAAGTGGCATTGGTTGTTGGTGCCAGATGGGCTGGTTTATTTCAGAAACTACTGATCTACAGGAATTTTCATTGCATAACCATCTCTAGAGTTTACAGAGAATGGTCCAAATAAACGAAAATAGTGAGCGGCAGTTCTGTGGTTAAAAATGCATTGTTGATGCCAGAAGTCATAAGAGAATGGCCAGACTGGTTCAAGCTGATAGAAAGGCAATAGGAACTCAAATAACCAGTTGTTACAAGGTATGCAGAAGAGCATGTCTGATATGCACAACACGTCAAACCTTGATGCAGATGGGCTACAGAACACTCCTGTCAGATAAGAACAGGAAACTGATGCTACAACCTGCATGGGCTCACTAAAATTGGACAATAGAAGATTGGAAAAAGTTGCCTGGTCTGATAAGTCTCAATTGCGATCGAATTTCAGTATGGTGTCATTCTGAACCGACCAAACATTATAATGATGAACATATCATACAACTAATTCCCAGCTGACCACCATCTGGGTTAGTGTAATGTTTCAGTAATGCAAGAGGAAAACATTGGGTGGAGTATGTGTTGGTGGAGTGAGGGCTTTAGCGGTAAAAGAGAGATTACATGAATGTTAAATTACCAAGGGAGTAGATAGAGGGCTGCCAGACTCGTGCCAGCTACCATGGACATAATAATGAAGATGGGTAAATTACTTTTCACTAGGGATATCACAATTAGAGCTGGGATATAAACCTGTAGAGGAGAAAGAGGGATGAAAAAGTGGAAACTATTTCAGGTAAAAAAAAATATATAAAAACTAAGGGCATGCTGATGGGCTGCATTTAATATTAACTTTACAAACAAATATAACTTGTAATTGTTATAGTATTCCTATTTCCTTTATATGCAGCCATAAATAATCTAATTAGAAACAAAGAGTGGTGCTCACCGATAGGCCGATGAATATGGTGGTCTTCTTGCCTTTTTTGACTAGTAGTGTCTGCCACATTGGGATGGATATTGTAGCTGATGTCTGCACAAAAAAAAGATGACTAAATATATAATTCTGCATAATTGAAAATTAATGATATACATATTTTTTAAATAATTTGTAACATAAATGTGAGACTGTTCAAAAAAAATGTCAATATGTTGTACTTTAATATAATATAATTATATAATTAAATTAATATAATGTAATGTGCTTTATGTCGTAAAATATAAAAATTACAAAAATTTAAAGTAAAATTTCAAAAATATAATTTATTTTTTTATATATACAGAAGGAATCTGGCTGCATAAGGTTATAAAAAGCTATTTTTACAGATCAGATCAGGTAGAAATAGCTCCTTGTTGCAGTACTTCTTACAATACACTTTGAAATAATGGATCCCTCACCAGTAATATAAGAACAAGATGCTGGAAATATGCTCCCATATTCGCTGCGTGAGTACAGAAAAGGGCGAAATTCCCCTGAGCCATCTGAAACAAATTTTAAATTCACTGTGTGACTAATGTCAAAACTATCATACACACCTGTGCATCTTTCTAGGCAATACAGACATGCTCTTTTGGTATTTTGATGTTTAACAACCATCAAAATACGTGCATAATTTAAACAGAAAAAATGGCTTACCTGGAAGGCTAGTGAAGCAAATAGGAAGCCAAATACAAGCCGCACATATGGAGTGTGTCCCACCACCATTTTCATTCCAGTTAGATAGGTGACATTTATGCGGTCCAGTTTACTCAGAGGGGCTGAAGTGAGAAGTAGACACATGCAAATCACTGTATTAGTCTAGAAGTCACAGCATTAATCAATGGGCCAAAAAAAGTTGCACAATCTAATATTTCGTTGGACGGCATTTAGCTTTAATTACAGTGTGCATTCGTCCTGGCATTATTTTGACAACCTTATGAAATGTCACAAAGTTTTTTCTCTCAAGTGTTGCATTCGTTTTTGGCTGAGATCTTGTATTGACAATGGGAGTGCTCCCACCATCTGACTCTGAGGCAAACCACCAAAAAAGTCTTCCAAAATCCTAAAGACTTTGAATGGGATTATGGTCAGGACTCTGTGGTGGCCAATTCATGCTCAATGAACCCTTCTTTCACACTTTGAGCCTGATAAATCTTGGCACTGATATCCTAGAATATGGATATGTTAAATATACCCAAAAAAGCATGTCTTAAAATATTTTGCGCCTGTGTCATAAGTAGATTACCCGCACCTGATGAACATCGGCTCTGCTTATTTGCGACTACGCTAATTTGCGCTGCGCTTGGTATATTGCGTTGGTCGATATGTAAATGAGATGTTGCACCTGTGTTCTTTCATTTGCGCATTGTCAGTAAATCAGCTGCATAAATTTCCACGCCCATCTACGCTGTTTTGGAATTGCACTCTCGCGCTAATTTGCCCTGTTTAGTAAATCTGACCCTTAGACTCTTAAGTGTCTGCTTATTTAAATTCAAACAGCAACTTTTTTTACCCGGGCAGTTTATTTATTTATGTGTTTGAAAATTCCTGATGCACAATTAGCAAAGGCTGAAAGAACATGTGGTAGGCCTACACCAAACAACAGATGTTAGCATTTTAACCCATGTTAACTCATTTGGACCCACCCAACTGTTCCTTCACTCCAAGAAAAAGGACGAGGCAGCAAAGAAAGTACAGCATTCCCAATACTAATGCTCCAGTCAAATAGGCTCTTCTCTGTAGAAAGACAAAATTAAAAGACAAATCACAATATATATTCAGCTAAACTTTTCTGGAATACTTTCCATTTCAAAATCAATAGCTAAACAAATTCCACTATACTCATTAATAGGATGTTCTCTGTGCCTCACTGTATTTTGTAGAGTGTCAGATATGTCATCCAGCGATTCAGTGTGGTTCGCAGAAGGCCCTTCCGTGTCATTCTGTAAACTGCAGACGTGTGTCCTCTTGGCATGGTGCACCCCCACTATCTGACCCTGAATGGCAGCTCCTGCCAGTGTAGCAAACACTTCCATGCCCATTCCTGTATCGTGAGAGACAACAAAGCCCTTGACATTTCTCTTTTATATAGGAAACAGATCTCAGTTTATGTTATGTCCTATATGTCCAAGTTTCTGCTCTCTATCTACTTCACTATCTCTGGCTTAGAAATAATAATAAATAAAAAATAATGAATAATTTTTTTTTTTTTGCTGATGGATAACAGAGACCTATTGTTCTCTCTGTTTGTAAAACCTTCAAATGTCCTAGCTTTGTAACTTTTTTCAAACCTTTCAAACAAGACTATGTCCAGCCAACATTCAAAGTTTTATTTTATTTATTTTTTTGGCTTTTCGTAAAAAAAAATTTTCTTTGTGCATTTTTGAAAATTCCTTTTTTTAAGTTATATTTTGGGCCTTTTTTAGATAATATACAGATCAGACAGGGCCTCTTGGGCCCAATCGAACTCAGGTTAGGACAGATGATGAATAGATAGATAGGATAGGATAGATGAAGGGTGCAATTCTGATATTTTACACTTTTAATTGCAATCTTGCATCAGCGTGTATGGCTGGAATTTTTTCATTATTTATTTTCAGTTGTCCTTTTTGAAACCAGCATGTATTTTTTGTAAGCTGTTTCATCAAACTCTTAACTTACAGTATCAGTGGCGATTCAAGACTGCTGACTTTGCAATAAAAACATAAAATCCTAGAACACAAGATACATGGCAATTCTTTTCTAATCATCTATTTATGCTTGCGGCTATATTTTCTTACTGTAACCAGTGGCTGAATCACGATCCTTCTGATTCCCCCCCAGAAACATGTTTAGGGAAGAATATGGCACATGGTAGCACTAAACAAGATAGAGACAGGGAAAATTGCTTTAGAGTCATTTATGAATCATATCACACTTTATATAAGCAAACAGCTGTCTGAAAACTACAGTGGTGAGTACTATATTTCATTTTGGAGTAAAGTTTGCTATTACCATGAGTTGGGCATCATAGTGTCACTGTAAATGTGTTTGTAATGTATGCTGAATGTGCATTCTAATGTATTACTGAATATTCTGTTTAAAAAAAAGCATTTAATTTAAACATCCCCCAATGCAGGAAATGTCCTTAACAGCCGAACATCTTTTCTTCTTATTCTAAATCTGTAAAACAGCAGTTAACACAGTGGGCAGATAATGGTAATACTGGGCTTACACTCATGAAGGTGTCAAACAGACAGCACCATGTGAAGTACCAGCCGAAACTGAAGCCAGAGGACATGGTGTCCTGTGGGGTATACCAGAGCATAACGTATGACAGGACCCCAAGTGGCATTGTGAACACAATCCTACATAAAGAGCGAAGTTGAGCACAGAGCAGACATGCGACACACAATTTAGCAGATTCTGCATTTTTAAAATAATCCATTCGAGTACAGTATATTATCGTTTATATGCTCAAAACTGGTCATATGAGCAGCAGCCTCTGGTCAAACTGTGAAATATCTAAAACAGTTGAGGAAGTGCTTTACACCCAGTCTGACGTAAACCAGTACATTCACCAAGGAATAAGTTTGCCAATTCTGGTCCGGCCACTCTTGATGCTAATGTTGTACACTAGAGAGTCACAGGGCAAGAAATCCTTTTACAAGAAATCCCATTGCCAATGGCTGAATATTTTCTGATTTTCGTTTTGAAGTCAGTTATCTCTTTTGAAACTGACATGTGTTTCTGTAAGCTGTTTCATCGAACCCTAACATACAGTATAATTGGAGATTTAAGATAGTTGACTTTGCATTAACATTTAGAAAGATATATTGCAATTCTATCAGCTTGCCACAATCCAATCATCTACTATTGGTGCTTGGACCACAATGATTGCCATTTAAGACTATTTTCTTACTGTAACCAGTGGCTGAGTCTCGATCCTTCTCATTCCCCCCCCAGAAACATGTTTAGGGAAGAATATGGCACATGGTAGCACTAAACAAGATAGAGACAGGGAAAATTGCTTTAGAGTCATTTATGAATCATATCACACTTTATATAAGCAAACAGCTGTCTGAAAACTACAGTGGTGAGTACTATATTTCATTTTGGAGTAAAGTTTGCTATTACCATGAGTTGGGCATCATAGTGTCACTGTAAATGTGTTTGTAATGTATGCTGAATGTGCATTCTAATGTATTACTGAATATTCTGTTTAAAAAAAAGCATTTAATTTAAACATCCCCCAATGCAGGAAATGTCCTTAACAGCCGAACATCTTTTCTTCTTATTCTAAATCTGTAAAACAGCAGTTAACACAGTGGGCAGATAATGGTAATACTGGGCTTACACTCATGAAGGTGTCAAACAGACAGCACCATGTGAAGTACCAGCCGAAACTGAAGCCAGAGGACATGGTGTCCTGTGGGGTATACCAGAGCATAACGTATGACAGGACCCCAAGTGGCATTGTGAACACAATCCTACATAAAGAGCGAAGTTGAGCACAGAGCAGACATGCGACACACAATTTAGCAGATTCTGCATTTTTAAAATAATCCATTCGAGTACAGTATATTATCGTTTATATGCTCAAAACTGGTCATATGAGCAGCAGCCTCTGGTCAAACTGTGAAATATCTAAAACAGTTGAGGAAGTGCTTTACACCCAGTCTGACGTAAACCAGTACATTCACCAAGGAATAAGTTTGCCAATTCTGGTCCGGCCACTCTTGCTCACGGCATATCCAATCAGAGGATCCGTAATAGCATCCCAAGCTCGACCGAGAAAAAGAATGACGGATGCAGAGAAAGCTCCCATCTATAACAGACATTTGGACAGAGTAAAATTCATCTTAAAAACTCACTGTGCCCCATTTTTGTTACAGAACTTCTTTTGTAGTATGAAAATACAGTTACATATAAAATAATGAAGCTGTTAAAAGTACACAATGTATTAACTTTCACAGGACCTTTCACATGTTCATTTCACTTTCTGTGCTAACAGTTCAGCTAAACACTGTTGAATGTGGATTGCAAACATAACATGCAAATTCAGGAAGAGTTAAGGTGGACCACGATGGAGCCTCATGCATTTTATAAATATATAATAATATAATATAAATGCTTAGCTGTTCTTAGTTTTTAGAACCACAGATCACACAGTGATTGTGTTTCACAAACAGCCCTCAAACAGCCCACGATGAAATTGAATGCACAGGGTTTGATGCTACAACCTTCATTTACCAGCCCCATCGAAATAACCAATGCAAGCAAATAAGACCAGGAGAAAAACATATCAGGTATTATAAAAATGTTTTATTGTCTCATTTTTTGTATTAACTATCATATTCCTGCTTATATTTTAATGGAAAGAGAAGCTCAGTTAAGTGATTGCACAGCAGATTGCATTATATTAAGTTCAAAAGTGATCACATAATATTACGTGACACATTTACGCAGTTAAAAAGCCAAAAAATTATAATGTAAGTCATCTGTGCATTTGAGTGCAAATAACACTAATATTACAGTTGTGCAGGGTGATTTCCTGGATCACTATCCAAATTAATGGGTGTGGTAGTGTTAAAAACCAAAAGTTTTTCCCTAATATATACTTTCTTTCAAACTTAAGGTCAATGTATGTAACCCAGCCTCTTTGCTCATACAGATTAAACATATTTTATGCATAGGGTATATCTTTAATGTGATACCAAGTTCGTGAAAGGCTGGTGTGAAACTGTAAGTAAAGTATTTTAGAGGTTCTGATCTATATGGTCACCACTGACAGTTGCTAAAGACCACAACTTCTATCCTTTCATACTTACCTTCACAACATCCAGTAAAAAGATTTGCATGAAAAAGCCCTTGGCGTTTGCAGTCATTTGATAAGGCATTCCTCCAATTGCATAGCACAGTTTTCTGGATAAAGGGATGCCTGGAATTTTCTGCACAAGATCAATACGTAAACATCAAATTCTCATGTCAACGATTTTGTGAATGATGCTATATTTCAACGTTAAAACGAGAAATAAAGTATTAGTCTATTCTCAAATCCTAATTGTTTTAAATTTGCAACATCTTTTAGAGTTTCCTCTATGCTGAAAAGCTGTAATTTACATAATCAAAACCTGCGGTTTATAACGAGTTCTCTATAAAATGTCATACCGGTTGATTGTCATCATTTTCCGTGGCACAGATGTTGTCGTCTGTTTGTTTGTCCAGTACACTGCTACCATTGTTGGCCATAGCTCAGTTATCGAAGAGTTGCCAGCACTGCCAGTATAGTTTTCTACTGCCTCTTATACTTGTTGCAATGTGGGCGTGGCTGTTCCTCTGCGTTGGTCCGAAAGCATTTGAGGATACCCAGAACCCAGAACAACTTTCGCAATATTAGTTAAACAAATGTATTATTTTTCTCTCTGGTAAATAACTGTAGTGAATAGTTGTCCGACTAATAATGGAAAGCCGAAAGTCCAGTCAAACAAATAGCCTATTCACTGCCAGTGGTTTTTTTTATGTAAGTTTCAAACACCTAATTCTAAATTCTTAGAACTTAGAGAATCTCTACATGGCAGCCATTCTATTCCAATGTCTGTTGAATTCTAACTCAGGCACACGTCATTAACGAAGTACCGATTAGGTGATCAGATCACCTCAATCAAATCTTATTTAATGAGGAAATATATATATATAAAAAAAAAAAAATGCTGTGGTCATCACTACTTGACCATGCCAAAAGAGTTGAAAAGAAAAGTTTTTTTTTAACAGGCTAGTGCTTGTTTGACTCAGGAAACCAGTCTCAGGAAATCCTCATTTTAGAATGAATTACACATTCCATATTAGTTTTTTTTTAATGCGTCATCAAATCTAGGCAGTCTCTACTGTTATCGGAGTGTACTTCATGCCATCGTCGAGGCTCCTTAATTCAGGCACATAGCCTAATTTCCATGACATTTCCCTTCATTCCAATTATGAGGAAGCAGCTAAACACTGCGGTCAAGCCAGCCGCGCTTTGAAAATGCAAAATAAAAAAAAACATTGAATATAAAACATTAACAACATTTGCAATAACATTTATCAACATTAATAAATTATTTATAATAATTAATGTACAATACAAACGTTTATGTACAAAAATAATGTATTTACAAACTAAAAATAAAAGGTAAAATAAGCTAATTATAAAGGAAACGTCGGTATGACAGCTTCTTTACATGCATTTTGACTGCTCTCAGCACCCGTACCGTAAGTGCACAATTACACGCGCAAGACAAAAAAAAGTGCGGCTGGCTTGACCGTGCATTTTCAAAGCGCGGCTGGCTTGACCGCAGTAGCTAAACGTAGCGGTCTGATCCACGATACCAGAACCTGGATTCCCACACTAGCTTAAAAGTCTACAAGCGAAACTGAGCTGAGCTGACAACAATCGGTCGATTGTTAAAGCAGAAGATGGTACGTGTCTCATGCTTTCAAATACGAAATCTTTCCAACAAGGGCTGGAGCAAGTCGCGGCAATGTCATCTTGCAGCGGCACTTCCTGCCATTCTGTGGCAGGCAGCTGCCACTGTTTCTATGCAACGTTTTATAAACGAGGCCCCAGGTGTCTTTTAGAAAAATGATTTATTACAATAAAACAGAAAGTATGGTCAAAGTATTTAGTGTATATTGATGTTAATACTTCGAACTTCTCAAAAGATCGAAATAAACGGTCTTTTATTACAATAAATGCTATCAAATCTTGTGTCATTCAAGATCAAAAAAAACATTACATAGTTATTTTAACTGTTATGTGTCATTTTTGTTTATTATGTTTGTTCAAGCAATTATTCATTCTGTTATTATGGTAAATTTTAGTAAACTCGCATATCTTGGGCCAGTGTTTCCCAACCTTTTTTTAGTCGCGGCATGAGCGGTGAACTAATTTTCGGCAGCCGGAATTTCAGTGCATCTCTAATTATTGGCGACATCAGAAATTGATATTATATAATAGATGCTTTTTTTAACATTTTAGCTATTTAAAAATATTTAAAAATTATTTTTTACACGGCACCCCGGTTGGGAAACACTGTCTTAGGCTACTGTAGGATATGCCGACACACTGGCTAGAGTGGAGTGCAATTCACCCATAAGTAAAAACATAATTTAATTCATCCATACATGTTGTTCCAAACCAAAACTTTCTTAATGGAACACAAACTGCTGTACTTGTTTGAATTAGGACGTTGCTCTAAACTTTATTGGGGGAAGTACATCTCTGCATCTGTCCTCTCATCGTTCTTCCTCTGTCAGTGCTCAGGTCTGTAGGCAGATGTTCCTCTAGCTGTGGTTGAGGAGATCCTCCTGAATCTGCCTGCTCATCAGGTGGTGCGAGTCTGTCGTCTGGTGTGTCATGAGTGGAAGGAGCTGGTGGACAGTGCTGCACACTGGAGAGAAAGGATCCAGACTCCAAAGAGAAAGGAAAAATTTAAATCGCATCATATGACCCCTTTAACTAAGAATTGACGCAACTTGCTCAAGAGTCCCAGAGCAGAAGGTGAGCCACATAATTAAGCTTACACAACCATGATAAGACAAGTGAGTACATACTGTGTAAACAAGTGAATTTATGCATCAACCAGTGTTCTTATTAGAATCTTACTAGAATTTCAAGGCTGGAATATTATACAGAATGGACATAACTGCTGGGCTGCACATGAAAATAGACGTAAATTTCCAGACAACAGGGTCACCTAATGTTTTATGACATCTTATGCGTACGTTTGATATTTTAGATCCTTCAAGAAAGTTTTGAGCCCATTTCATTTCAGTCGATATTGCAATATGCAAATAAATTAATCATCAAGCCAATCCACATTATGAATCACCCATAAACCTTGTTCCTCAGGTTGTGTTTGAAGCAACAGCTGATTGATTTAAAGAAAGAAGGCTACAGCACTGCTTTCATGGACCAACTGCAACCTCATCAAAATATCAGAGCATTCACTCAAACTCTCATTTCATGCTGCAGTACCTTTTTTATGTCATTATTTTTTGTGAATGACCTGTCCACCTGGGTCACATGTGCCTTGTGCTCCCTCTATTTTATATATTCATATTTAAATATTACATTTATGCTATGGGAGATTATTGTTCATTTTATTGGACGAATCTGCAAGTATGTAATTTTATGCACAAGACAGAAATTGAATTTGTCTTTAAGAACACAGTAGCCTAACCAGTGTTGGCTACAAATCATGTTCTCACATGAAAATACATTCACCCCATGCTGTAATTACTGTAATTATGAGATTCCAACTTGTAAAACATCCTTGTATAACTCATAATTACAATTTATAAACTGGGAATTTCTGAGAGCCACAAATGCTGTACAACTGTCCTGACTGCCACAAATTCGTTTAGGCACTATATGTTGATAGTTTTGCTGTACACGTAATTCAGTGTCTGAGTACGTGAACAACTCTGAATGGCAGATTGCCATCTTGAAAGTACAGTAATTACATGAGGTGAATGCAGAAACAATTTGTAAATAGGTTGATTTGACGTCTCTGCTGGTGCAGGTATACTGCACACTCTGATTGTGGAAGTGAGTATCAGATCAGTGTAGAGTTGCTTGATCAGAAGAAAAACCCCATCAGTATCTTTCAGCCTGAGAAAAAAAAAATTTCAACAGTGGAACAATGAGAGGTGGTGTCAACTGTCGAGTGAGTAGAATAATACTGACAGTCCAGTTATTCCACTGTAATCAAACTAATAGTCAAAGCTTAACTATCTCTGTTCTGCTTTATTTCAGATGACACATGTCTTTAAGGATTAAGGATCTGGGATCGGATCTGAAATTATTAATGTGGAGAACTGATCTAACATTTTTGGCATGCAAGATGTCGGCAAAATCTAACATGTCTTACTGTCATTTATTCTATAGGATATGGTGACATTTACACTAATGAGCCAAAATATTGTGATATATAGGTGAAGCCAAACTCATTGAGGTAGAACAATCTGTTCTCGTAATCAACATGTTGAATGCAGGAGAAATGGGCAGGAATTAAGCTCCGAGCAACTTGAGCATAGGTCCAGATGCACAAAGTTTCTCATAAAAGAGAAATGTATCAAAAAACAAGAATTTGTGTTGCTTTGAAGGACTTTGAAACCAGATCAGATGTGGTAAGTTGCTTAGTTCTTGGTTCTGGCCCAGCCATAACGTAATACAGATTTATACAGCAAATTAGCTCAAAAGGGAAATGTATATAAATAATTACACTTAATTATGATTAAATGCAATTATTTATATGAGCTGCCAGTAGTAACTGTAACAGAATTAAATTGCCATCAACTAATCTGTTCGTCCAACGAACATTTAGTGTAAATTCATATCAACTCTTAAGAAAGGATATTTTCGTGGCCACAGAAAACAACCTTCTTACAGTAGCCTAATAATACATTAGAGCATGTAGCAAGGATCAAAATCGTAAAGGGACATTATTCACAAGCAGGATCAGAAACTCATGTAATTTGTGCACAAAAGTTTTATTAACTAAACGCTAACACACATAACTAATCTAAACACAAACATACAATCACTCATACATGGGGAAAGGGGCAAATGAGACTTGATGGATGAAACCATCAGGAAAACCAGAGAATGAAGCTATGAAAAGAGTCAGTTAACCACCTGAGTAAAACCATCAGGCTATATGTTGGAGCCCACCGGGCACGCCCGCACCGGCTCAGGCTTTCCACACGGGCAGCAATCAGATGTTTCAACAGAAGACCCAGGGCGGAACTGTGCATGAGACCTTTAAAGTCTGAAAAGAGTCCCGCCTCTCATAATGGGCTTGTCCAATGAGAAAGGCTGAATTTCCAAGCGGGAGGTTGGAAATACTGGAGGGTTTTATGACCCTTTGTTTGAGAGCATGGTAATTTGCATATGGAACTGGATTGGATGTTGATATGCAAACTATTAAAGATTCTTAGAACACTAACATGTTGCATAGGTATCCACATATTACATACACTCTCAATTAGATCATCCGAAGACGAATTCATAGAGGCCAAACATGGTATATGGTGAGTTTACATTAACTAGTGATCTGTCATATGGCAAGGTTTTGGACTTGCGATCACATTCTTCCGGGTTCGAAGAGTGATGAATTCCAAAGATGTTCTGACTCGATGGTGATTGGGAGTTTCTTCCCAGTGGAAAGTGAAAGAGAGATAAGAGAGACATCAGCTGAGATCCTAGGATTTTTGGTGAATGGAAAGTCAAGGCCGAGGCCTGGTACGAACTTAGGGTGTCCTTAGAATACTAGCTCAGCATCCCCATCTTCTCAGAATCTAACAGAACCGCAGACTGACTGGGCTATATGTTGGAGCCCACCGGGCACGCCCGCACCGGCTCAGGCTTTCCACACGGGCAGCAATCAGA